TGTGTTCTGTTTTGGTTTCTGTTACGTTTTTATGTTATTTTTTTTTATGCAAGTTTGTTCTCAATTATTTCACAGTCCTTCCCAGATTAGTGTCAGTTGTAAATCTAATATGCATCCTCTCTATTAGATTCTGCAGTCATAATGAAAATAGGTTCTGTACCAGGGCATAATGAAAATAGGTTAAACAGGAATTTAACCAGTGCAAAGCCCTGCTCAGTGCAGGCTTCCATTTTAGCAGGGAACCTTTGATCGCTACCTTCTCAATATGTTTTTCTTACTGCTTTTGTACCACATATAGGTTTGTGTAGACTGTCTTTTCTTAGCCTGATTATTAGAATGTTGTATGCAACAAATATTTTTCCAAAATCAAGATATAGGACATGCTCTACTACCCTCCTGTCAACACAGGCTCTTACTGTGTTCTTTAATATCCCTTCTTTTGGCATGTTAGTTACAATGAAGGGGAGAAAGATAAAGGTTTTCTTAGCATGTTAGAAAAACATATACATGTGCCAAAATAGTTTCCACTCCATCTTTCCTTTTACCTCATCATTGCTGTGGAAGCAGGAGATAAGAGCAGCAGCCTGAGGTGGAATGCAAGCTACCACTGTAAATATTGTGAAATGGTTACACAAGACTCTGTCCAAAATTTGGAATAGCTTTAAAGAATTTCAGGTTTGTATACAGATGTTTAATCCTTGGAAAAAAAAACAGTTAGGAAGAAAGTCAGTGACCTGGAGTCTATTGCTGATTTGGGCACTGGACTGAGAACTGAACTGAGCATTGTGTACAATTGTCATCGCCATACCAGTTTGATCTATGTGTCTGATGTACTACAGGAGGCAGCAAGGAGGCAAGACTATCATTGCTAGTAACAACAAGAGTCAGTGCCAAGGTACGTTCTCATTCCTCTAAACCTAGCAAGACAAAATATTATCTAAAGGTACCATTTTGTGCATTATTATAAGTAGGTAAGACTTTTAGGATGTTGGTGAGATGTTACCATTGTAGAAATAAAGCTATTGTAAAGTTAATTCCTTAAACAAATTGTTTTCTATTCAGGAGATTTTTTTTTCTTTAAATAAGAAGAAAAAGAAACACTGAAATTCAACCTTAATTGATTTCATTTTCATATATTTACCACATATTGTCCTTTGGTACATTTATATTTACTTTGTGATGTAAGGGATGTAAGGTCTGTGAAAATCATTCTGTTTCCCTTATGAGTACATGAAAGAGGTCACAAATATGTTCTTATGACATCGTTTACATGGCCTGAGATAATCAAATCTGGGAGATCCTTAGCCTGAGACCAATACTGGGTAGAATTACATGTCATAGCAGAGCCACTCTTACCAATTCACTGGTTATTAAAGCAGAAAGGTCTTCCTACCTTCCCTCCCTATGCCCGAGCCATGCATTTCTGCTTGCTAGCCATGGTCTAGCAATCACTGAACCCCTCTGTGGGCTCTTTCAACTCACTAATCCAACAACAACAACAGCAGCAATTGTTTTTGCAAATTGATTTTGATGAACAAATTTGGTTGGCTCAGCAAAGCATCTGTTGGCCCGACATCTGTGCCCAAAGAGGAGTTATGATCAGACACCGAGGACTGGTGCAGCAAGGGGGAAAGGAAGGAACAGGAGTCCTGCTTTTTATGTGCATGAGCTGTTAAGCTTGTTTGGTCACCCTATGTAACTGTACCCTTGATGATCTTTGGGAATAGGCCACATATTCCTTGAGTGACAATAAACACATCCCTGCTCAAATATGTCTGTCAGATGGTGACAATTACACAGACTTGTATGTCATCATGAGGAAGCTTGTCTAAATGTCAGAAATGTGCTTTTTACTTGTTAGCTTTCACATAGAAAAAATGATTGTGTATATCTCAACCGTCTCCTGTTTTCATTGACCAGAGCAGCATGGAGCTAGAGAGTTTCCATTTGTGCAAAGGAAAAGATGCTTCATGGCCATTTTGCAAATTAGCAAATTGAACCAAGGTGCCACAATGATGCATTGCTTGTTGTTGTGTAAGTATAAAATCAGGAGTAGTGCTAGGGAAAAGAGCATGGTTGAAGCTAGTCTTTGCCTGCTCTTGCTGTACTGGTGTTTCTGAGCACAAGGTGTTTCCAAACCACACTTCACAAAATACCTGATGGTGGCCTCCCATGAAAATTCTTCATGGCCGCTTGGAGACCCTTTTGTTCCTCTGGTTTCTAAACCAAAAGATAGTAAAAAGTTGTTTGTAATTGGATACAATCCTTGATGTATAATGGAGGTGGAGGAAAGATGCATCTATGAGATAAGCTTTTAAACGAACCATGGTCGCACCCAGACAAACCTGAGAACATCTGTGTTCTAGGAAAGCTATTTACTCAGAGTGTGGTACATCAAAAAAGAACAATTTGTGTTTATTTTTGTTTAATAAGCAGTGAGAAGTAAGTGAAGGCATCAGGCACATTGAGGCACAATTTTCCAAATAATTACGTGGCTGATTAAGCCGAACAGATGAGGGCCACAGAGATTATGCAAATCTCATTTAGTTAAATGTGTTAGGATGGGGATGAACACTGTCCCGTTCAGAAGTAAATTTAAGACCTTTAAACTTTACATGTCGGGATATTGTGGAGATATTTTTTCTTCAAATAAATGACAAGCTAACTCCTTACATGCTAGTGCATTGTGACTGCACTCTTATCTTTCTCTAAAGGACAAAAGCTGAATTCTTAGATCTCATATTCTGCTGCTATGAAGTCTGCTTATGGTTTATCATGCTGCTCTACTGAACTATAGGGTTCGGTGACGTCCCTCAAACACCACCTCCTAGCTGCTGAACAGAGAGCCTGGGTAATCCTGAGATCAGTCCTCCTGGTCTGCAGGAATCTGTTTTAGAGCAGATCATTATGACACCTTTCCAATCCCACATATAGGGACAATATTTTAAGCAGCTGCCACCATGAAACATACATTTGAAATACAGTCTATGTCTTGTGTTCTCATGTAAAGCATCTCTGGCCATTGAGACACTGTGCTAAAATCTTCAGAGTGTTCAGTCTACCAAATATGGGCCATAAAGCACTGATCCAGAGTCCACATTGTGACGAGTCCCTCATATTAATTATAGTCATCTTATGCTGCGCTAGATATGAGATCACCATGACCCTACCTCCCATTGCACATCCCCAGTGCGGTCAGTCAGCCAGACGCATGCTGACTTCAGCAGGAGAAAAAATGGAAAACCATGCAGAATGCCACTATTCTGACAAGCTGAAGGAGTACAAAATCAGCATTAGATTGTAAGTCTTCCATACCAACAAAAAAATCTCACTCCTCCAGAATGAGTCGATTTCCATATAGCATCCTCTCAGTATAGTCCTGCGGAAAGCCTGTGAAGCCATTAGCTTTCTGAGGGCCCATACTCAGCAGTGAACTGTCAAGATGCTCATCTCAGTAACATTATCTTTCTGTTTCATTTGCTTGCTCAGGGATTAAAGTAACACACTGCAGGAACATTTTGCAGTGGATAATAATGCTGCCACCCTGTATTTGGTTGATACATTGAGAGAGGATCTCCAGCTGGGAGACTTCAAATGTGAGAGCTTTACTGATGTTTTCATTCTTGTTAATATTCCTGCCTACACTGGGAGAAGAGTCTGGGTGATGAAGAGGAGTAGAGAATATTCATTTTCATTTACTGAGCTGCCTCGGAATACTGTGAACCACCCACACAGCTGAACAAGTTGATTTCAGTGCCAGAGGAGTTATCAACACTAATAAAAAAGCAGTTGTCACACAGATTAAGCATTATGCATGGGCAAAAAACTCCCGGTATATTACTCATATGCAAATTGAAAGTATTTCTATAACCTCTGACCCTGCTTGTAAACATCAGATTCCAGGAATTCTTCTGGAAACCATACATTACTAAGGCAAAATTATACTTAGCAATAAACATGCTTTCCTCAGTGAAAGAATCTGGAAGTGGAAGAATGCAAGACCTTGAGATGCACTGCTGAGTGTGAGGAAACCGCTGAGGCCACCTCCTGCCAAATGTCTGGGAAAACACCCACCCTTGTAGAGCTGCTGGTGGAAATATGTAAACCACACACGGCTGCGGTGCGTGAGCACCTCATTAACATGCTATCAGGCATCCACAGGCAGCAGCTGTGCAGTGCCAGGAGTGAGTGGACACGCAACTTAAGCTTGCTCTGACATGAAAGGGGGAATTCAAAGAACTAAGTGGAAGGATGGGGCAGTTATTGCAATGGCAGCAGGAGAAGTGAAGAAAGAGGAGGTGAGAATAGGAAAGACAAAAAATGCAGCAGCAGTTCAAAAGGAAAAATCCCTGTGGTACTGGAGAGGTTTCCAGTGATCCAAGAGAGTGGTAAGGAGATTGCTGAAAGGTGACTGAGGGAAGAAACATGGATCTTGGACATAAGCTAAACATAGGAGTAAACAAGCAAAAAGCACAGTGGATGTCTGTGCATCGAAGGCATGCTCCAAGGTATGCCCAAGCTACTTTTAAGATATCTCGCGTGGGTACCATTACCTCAGCATGCAGCCTCTTGTTCAAATATTTATCTGGTGCCTGAGGGAGGGGAGTTTACAACCAGCAGAGAACTGAACTGATGTGGCTGCTGATTACATTGAGAGGAGTAAAGAGGTAGCTGTTTTAAAGCTAATCCAGGGTGTTTATGCACCATTTCCAATCATAGTGTTGACCTACACTGGAGGCACATTTAAATAAAATCCCGAAGGTTGTCATGTGCATGGAGGATACACCACATGGTCTGTTCCATCAGGTTTAACACTCAGCCACTGCCTCTTTCCCAAAATACAGTTTATAAGGCTCTCACATGCAGGTCTTTTGGGGGAAGGGCATAATTTTTAGATCCAGTAATACCATGTTTTTGAAACCATACAAGAAATCCATGTGTTATAAATCTGGGGCAGATAGTGTGCTTGGGTTTTCCCCCATAAAAGCAGAGGTGGACACTTTTAATATGAAATAGAAAGAACCTTTATTATTGATGTTACGTATTTCCTCACAGAAGGAAAATATGCATGTTTCTTTATAATGGAAATATCAGCAAACGGTAGAGAGATCATAAGGAAAAGAATTACAACACCAGTCTACAGCTATTAGCCTGCTTATTAGCCCATTTGTTTTACTGCCATTGTGATACTGCTCCAAATGGACACACTGATTTTTTTTTTTCTGCATTGCCTTTTCTGGTCATTCAGCAGTACAAGAAAAGCTTTTTCATACATCAAAGACAACAAAACAAAACAGTTCAACAAAGTGAGATCTATCTAATACCTCTTCAATCTAGAATAAAGATTATAGTAAATCAACTATTTTATGTATTCAGAGCACACTTTAATATCTTGACATTCCAACTTCTACTTTAAATTTGTTCATTTTTTCAGAAAAGAGAGGTAACATAATGTTATGTGCAGACAAGCTGACAAAAGCAGTAATTCAGTCTCAGAAGGTCTTCTTGGGTGTAGTGTTCTGAGATAGTGAAGCCTGCCTGTCAGCTCGTGGTGGCTGAGAGGGGTGATTCCTGCCCATCTCCTTCTGCTCGCATCCACGTGATCCCATCTTTGTGGGCACCATGAGCTGGCACTCAAGTGTTCTAGGTGTGGTACTCCACTCCTCTTCTGTTTTTATCAATTCCTTGAAATGCTCCTATGGGAAATGCTGTAGGTCAACATCCAGTCTCTTATTTAAAACGTGTGGAGACTATTAACTGCACTCCGCTGCATGACGAGGGCAGTCTCCCTTCCTGCCTCTTGGAGTTTCCTGTTCGCACTGCTTGCTTTTTGCTGGCTCTGGCAATTGCTTGACCTCTTTTGAGACAACCTAGTTTGCTAACCTGATAGAAAACTGCTAACTTTGTGTGTATGTATGTGTGTGTGTGCGCACGTCAGCTTTCTGCCATTTTAGGTTGAATTAGTTCATCAAAGGGTTGGGTGCATGCAGGACCATTAAAAGCAAGTGGAGAGGTCATGGAATGGGTAGAAGAAAGGAAAGACTGATCTTTGGAGTAGCGGGAGTTGGGCAGTTCATCTCAGGTCACCTTATCCCTTCTTATCTAAACAGGTTCAGGGGACACCACTGTAAAGAAAAGAAATGACTAAAGGGCAATCCTGTGCTGCCGGAAACCATGCTAGTGAATCAGTGGGGTATTGCCCTGTCTTGGAACCCGTGATGGTCTGGTGCTGGCATCCTGAATTAGAGGATGCAGTAGCTGAAACAATAGTGATTCAAATGCAGTGATTCAAACGAGATATAAAATTAAGTTCTTGAAAGTTGGATTTAGAAAAATAATAATAATAATAATAATTAGGAAGAAAGCCCACAGTTTTCAGGGGAAATATTCAATAGGGAATTAAGATAAAATGCAAATGTTAACAAGGCACCCACCTAGCACAAGTGAGGAAGGAATCACCAGTGATTCCAGTCAGGAATGTCTTGTCCTTAGGCAAGCAGTTTACAACACCTCCAGGGCTGAAGAGCAGCCAGCCACTCTTCCCACTCAGATATCAGGAACATCACCCAGCTGGGTATGACTAGCATACTGTTAGTAGCCTAACACTTGGGACAGAATCCAGAGCTGTGCTAGGTGCCATATGAACAGAGGAACACATTTCTTGTGCAATTATCAGTCTCCTGAAGACCTGTTGAGTGCTTGCCAAAATGGTGCAGGTCAGCAACCACTCTCCTACTTGCTGGGTGTGGAAAGTAGTAAATTATGGGGTGGATGAAACTTTAGTAGAGGTTTTGTTTGTCTGTTTGTTTGTTTTACAGAAAGGCATTCTTGGACTTTCTTTCCAAGATATAGACATCAGAGACTCCAGTCAGACACCATAGGTCATCAGTTAGTAGCTCTGTGGCAATTTTCAAAGAGCTCATCATGCTTGTTATTTCACCAAAAAGGCTGGTGGGCTAGCAGCTGCTTTGCTGAAATTTGTATTTTTTTCTGTGCTTTCCACAGAGAGGGATGGGGATTTGCCATCTCTTTCCAATCCACAAGCTCACAACTCAGCTACAGCCTTGGCTAGCAAGATGATGGGAGATCCAATCATTTGAAGCAAATTAATTGAGAGCCTAGCCTGTGAGGTGCACAGCAGTCTCAGGTCTTGAGAGGAAAGAGAGTTCTCAAATTCCCTGGAGTGGAAGCACAGACAATGTGGAATTCAGTATCTCAAAGATCCCTGCAAAAATATTAAGCTATTTGCAGCCCATTCTCCTCAATAATATGGAAATTTCTGTCATGTGTGTGTTCCTTTGGGTTTGGACCATTTCTGGTTATTTTCCCACTGATATTATTAATTTACTTTTCTTTCAACATAATTTTGTTTCTTCTTTCTATTATTTTTTTTTTTCCTCCAGTTCATGACAACAGCTGGAGATTGAGCTGTTGGGTGAGATTCCCTCCTACATTGGACAGTTTTACCCATTGACCTAGTGCCTGCTGTGACTTTGGTTAAGATAATACAATTCATTCAGTGTTATTCACAGCAGGAGCAGCAAAGAAATTGTTTCATTACAGGAGCACAGAACAATGATAATACTACCAACTGTATATAAACACAGAGCACTAGTTACCCACCAGCCAATACTTAATGGAGGTAGAAGACTGGGTGGATTTCCTCAGCTACTGCCATCTGCCAAAACGCATCCTGAAAGAACAGACGTCCAATGTTGTGCTTTGAAAGTTCCAAAACTTGTGATCCAACTGCTGAATTCATATCCCCCAGACTGTAAATCACAGCTCTCCCAGGCTGCAAAATGATACCAGCTGACTGCAGCCTGAGTGAGTGAAAAGGGTTGCATCAGACTCCAGAAACAGTGAAGTAATTCATCTCTTTGATTTGGCAAAATGTTTTAAAAGGTACAAACACTGACTGAAAGAAAATGCTGGCATTCTGCCTTGCTTTACTACCTCACTCTCTTTTTCTTTCCCACAACCCCTCTCTCCCCTCACTGCAAAAAGTAAGCATTTTAAAGGAAACAGATTTACCAAAATTACAATCCTGCATGTGAGCCAGCCAGTTTTCACAGCATTGCAGTCATTAGCATGTGCTGCTGGAACGTACCACTTTGGATATCAAAGAGAGATTTGATCGGGAAGCTAAGGGTGTTCTGGGCAGCCACATTTGTCCCCCGGTTTGCTTTGAAAGCTAGTTTCCATGTGCAATAAAAGTAGCCATACACTTTTGTGCGACTGCTATCCAACACCCACAATGAGTGATTATAAGTGAAAGGAACTACTGATTCACTTAGTCATCTTCTATCACAGATGCCCAATGACCAAACACTAATTGACTCTTTGAAATTGTTTTCAAAGTAGATCTATGTGTGCAGGGGGAAAAAATTACCCTAAATGCTTGTGGTTTTGTCGGTAGCTGTTGTGACTACTGATCAGTCCTCTGCTATTCTTCAGCAATGAGAAATGTGTTTGAGTTTCACAGTGGAAAAAGACAGATGAATTGGCCTTGCAAACTTATCCCTAAATTAAGAAATCCATATTGATCTCGCAGTTACCAATAAAAAACCACGATGTGGGGAATTTGTTCTGTGATAGCACTGTGTATCACACAGAGAGCAATAAAGAGCACACCAGATTGTGTCTCCTGCTAGGGGTTTAACAGGAGTAAACCAACCCAGGTGATTCTCAAACTTAGGACTTTGAGACCAGGAAGTCCCAAATACAATTGCTCTGATTCCTAATGCATTTGCACTGTAAATTTGCCCCAGGGAAACTGCTGAGCTCATTAGAAGAGGGACCTTTCCATCTGCTTTTCCCCACAACTTCTGGAATAAGGTCAGTGCTCTGCTACCTCTCCTTTCCTCTTGAGACTGCTCAATGAGGAAAACTAATCTCTTACTCCTGGCTTGGGAGAGGGTGAGAAGACCCCTGGCACTGGGTCTTCTATTGTTTTTAGGTGACCAGTGGCCCTTTTCCTGATGGCGTTGGGTTGTGCAGGTCACTCCCTCCGCCAGTTTGCGCTGCTGGTGAGAGCCCAGCAGCTGCTTCTTCTGACCTCCGCGTGGCTGGAGCCTCCTGTTGTTTCGCCCTACCCTGCCTTGCCCCCCCTGGAGCGTACGAGCCATTCTCTCCTGCCACAGGGCAGAGGGAGCCTGGGGCAGGGTGAGAACCAGTGCACACTTGCTTCACAGGTGCAGGTCACCCGCATTGTATTTGGAGTATTGATGATATTCCTGTGCTGGGAACAGTAGAGGTGCAGTGCGTTTACTAGAGACCTGAGAGTTATGTTTTTTGAACAAGTGAGGCCCTTAACAGTATTATTTGGAGTGCAGCACTAGGAGGTATCTAGCTAGGATTTAATCATGTGTCTTCTCCACAGTGTGCTGCTAGTTATGCTATACCCCTTTCCCCCCAGCCTTTATTTTCCTCTTCCTGTGTTTTCTTTCAGCCAATAGAAACTTGAAAGCTATAAAAAGAAAGGATTTTTTTTTTACAAGGATCTAGAAGTGCACAGTTTTTCCTCTTATTGTAAGTTTTAATATTGCTGATATCCATCAAATTTACTTGTTGCTTGACATGTCAGTGTGAATATATACAACTCTCTTTCCTGAGGATAGCTGAAGTGACAGATGATTTCATTGTTGGGTGTACAATAGGCATAAGTACAATGGAAAAGAAGGGCTGACATCTGCTATGGTGATATGTTTTCAAAAACATGTATTGTCATCCCTTTCTTTTGTGTGTTATGCAATGATAATTAGGAGTGGCAAAGTGAGCATCAGTTTGACTGCTTTGCAGTGATTCAGAGTTTCTACTCAACAATCTGTATAAGTGCCTTCCAGGGTCTGACAGTGTAGCAAGCATATTCAGATGCCACATCTTTCTCTTTCTGAAGCGGTGTGCTAAATGTGCAAAGATGGTAAAGGATCTGCACTTTATATGAACTGTAATCTAGTTCCTTCCAAAGGCCAGCTCCAGGCACCTCCATTCTGTCCATGCAATGCCCACATATTGATCCACCCTGGAAAAGCCTCAGGTTAATTTTCTATGTCATGTGTTTTTTTTTTTTTCTCTCCTGGCTTTCTCTGTACGCTGAGCATGAAGTTTCCATGATGTTTCACACCCACAGAATGCCATGCCAGTGAAGACTGTAATACTGTAATGGCCGTTCAATGACTAACCTGTTTCTGAAGAATAATCTTTACATCTCTGCTGAATTTGACTCATACTGCCCATTTGAAAAACTGTAACAAGCCCAGATATGATTGATGGGCAATAAAGTAACACTGTCCACCTGAAATATTAACACGTTTTCTCAGATGATAGCTATATTTCCAAGCACCTCAGGATCCCACTGTGTGGGGATCTACATTTTTAGTTAACATGATAGTTCTTGCATTAAAATCCATTTCTAACCTAAGATGAAGAGTGAACAGGTAGATGAGAGAAACAGAGGAAGGAGTGAAAAAGCTGTACTTGAAAGGTAGATTGGAAATCAATAGGTGCAGTCACAGCTGTGAGCACAGTGCAGTACTTGATGTGCATTGTACGGAATGGGAGTTTTGATGTCTCTCAGCTTCCTGCTCAAAGGTGGTGCTTGCAAAGCAAGTGCTGATTCTTTGTGTAAGAGGTAGTCTGGGAAGAAGTTAAAGAATTGGCAAGGGAGACAGATTTTGGCAGAGTAGGGCTGATCTTTTAATGAGATAAAGATACAACAGGGGAGGGGAGCTGCATTGTGAAGAGTTTTCAGAGAAAAAAATACCAGTTTGCATTTTCTTTCCCCTTGCTGAGCATTTCATTCTCTCCCTCAGCCCAAATGCTCTGCCTACCACATCACTTGGACATATTGTGCTCTCCAGTCTATGCCCCAACCACCTCGCTAAGGAAAAGTTATGTTCCTTGTTTTCCAAACACTGACTAAACGATTTACTCATTCAATCTATACATATGTTAATTATTCTTTTCCCTATCGAGGGTTGGCTGTGGCTCCCATAGCATTTTATAGCGTTTAATAGCATAACTACTGGTAGCTATTCATAGAACACCCAGCATTGGAAGGGACCCACAAAGCTCACTGAGTCCAACTCATGGACTCAGTTCTCCACATGTAGGTCACATTATTCAACCTCCTCATTCACATTTGGCAGGCTTTGGCAGCAGCTTTACTCATCTCCTACTACATGTGGGTTTGGGAGTTTTTTGCCTCCAAACATATCTGGAGAAGCTTGTTGGGAGAGCATGAAGCCTTGCTCCCATCACAGGTGCAGGCCATTTAGCAGTGATGTGGAGCTGGCCGGGCATAATGAGCAGCAGCTGTGCCAAAGCCAGCACCAACAGCTGGGGCTGATGGGAGCTGCGGTGGCCATAGCAGGCCCTGAGCATGTCCCGCAGTCATGTCTGAAGATGTGCTTTTGTCCCTCTCTTGAGATGGGTTTCCAGGTCTAGCTGCTGGAGAAATACAGGTAGCGTACCAAGCAGCGAAGTTGATTTCTGAAGTGGTGTTGTAAGGGATTAGTTTAAGGGGTGGGAAGGGCAATGTCATTTGCCTTTGTGTATACTTGGTGAAGAGGCTGGTAAAATTAGTTGTGAAACATGACTTAACTTTTAAAGGTGTTGGGAGAATTTACTGTTCCCTTGTAAAACCTCTGATATGTGAGGTGTGTATTTCCCTGTTACCAACTACATGGTGTATGTAAGCACTCAGGGTTTCCAGTAGCTTTCTAATGTCATGAATCTGGGGGTTCAGGGTTATTTGTAACTGAACTATTTCTTCTACTAGCTGATGAAAGTTTCAGTCAGGCTTCTGTTGCGCTAGATTGTGTTCGAATGCCAAGTCTGTGTCTGAGTTTGCCTCCCTCTCAAAAATAGTTTTCTGGTGTTTTTTACTAGATGCAAGGTGGTATAGGTGGTATAACAGAATATAGTAAAAATAGAGCATGCTACTTTGCTTTTATGTAATTAAATGAATTTACTGATATGTGATGTAAGAATCTTAAGTGGTACTAAAAAAGTTTGGTGTGTGAAGTCTACACTTGAGCATAAACTGAGTAAAATCATTAGTCTATTACTCTATTTCTAGAAGAAACTACCATTACACTTCACTCTATATTGATGCATAGGTTGATGGTGGGTAAGTTTTACTGATCATATTTGTCAGGAAAAATAAAACTAAGAGGAGCTGGTGAGAGAAAATATTCCTCAAAATATCAACATCATATTAAAGTTTCAATAACTGTTCCTTGATCTCTGCTTCTGATGTACTGTAATTTTAGTAAATTGAGTTCTGGATCAGAGGCTGATCTATACTGGCAAGGTGTTTTGTGTGGTTTCAGTAGTAGAAGAGCAAAAGCTATGAGACAGGATCCTCTGACTTTAAGGGCAGCCAATTTTTGTCCCTTTCTCACTATGGAGATGACTAGAGGACAGAAAAAGGAGTTGTACATGAAGTTTCTTTGTGCTTTAGGCTTGCACAGTGGCAAAGCAATGCTTGTGCATTTCTTTTGCTTCTGCAAAGAGATGAGTGGGATGGGCAGGATTGTTTCCTTTTATCCATGTGCAAAAACTGCCTATTACTGATAGTTCTCTGCCTCGTTGAAAGATTGAAATATAACTAATGGATGAAGGTTCAGGCTAGCTTAATTTGTGCATAGTTTATCCTTAGTTTAATGGCAAACATTTATTTTTTTCTGATATGAAGTTAGACTTTTTTAATGTTATTTTGTGGTTGTCCTCACAGCAAGTGTAGGACCTGTGTTAGATTTGTCCTGAAGGGAGATAAAACCACTGAGTTTGGCTGACAACTAACGCTTGGCCTGATGTAGATAATGAGACAGGAGGTCTCTTGTGGTCAGGTGCTAACTTGAACAATGGGGGCTTTGCCCTTTGTCCTGGAGCCTGTGGAAAGAATATGGAAATTATTTTTATTGTCTGGGATGGTTCTTGGAGTGGGACAGGCTG